GAAAGAGGCAGAGATGACAACCTATTTTACAGACTGGGAAACTGAGGCCAAGCCACACTGGCATGAGTCTTCTCTTCCGGGAAGTGGGGTAGATGGGAACTAGGAAAGTCAGGGGTCCGGGAAGGAGCAGTGCCCACAGATCCATCCTTGACCTTTGGGCTATAGAACTGGAGTGACTCTCTCTTTTTTTTTTTTAACCAAACAAAACGTGCTTTATTTAGTAAAAACTGGTGAGTGTGGGCAGGACATGGCAGAAGTGCACAGGGGCTGGGGATGGGAGGGTCAGGGGTCAGCACAGGGGGGACATGACTCAGGATGGAGGAGCCAGAGGTCAGAAGACTTGGAGGTGGGTGGGTCTTTGGTAACTTATCACCTGCTCCTCTAGAGGCTACATGTGGCGCAAAAGCCCCTGGGGGTTCCAGAGGCCTGACCAGCAAGGGAAGGCTTGTCTCTGCAGGCCTAGTGAGGCCCTACCCCCAACATCAGCAGGAACTCTCGGGGACAGGATGAAAGCACCTGGATAGCAAGCACCCTTCACATGGGGCCCAAAGCTCCAGGTTGGTCTCTAAGATGGTGGTGTCCAGGGTGCAAAAGCCCCTGGGGGTTCCAGAGGCCTGACCAGCAAGGGAAGGCTTGTCTCTGCAGGCCTAGGGAGGCCCTACCCCCAACATCAGCAGGAACTCTCGGGGACAGGATGAAAGCACCTGGATAGCATCGGACTGTAAACAGCCCATTGTTCCAGGGCCTGGGGTGGGGCTGGACGGTGCTCACTGCCTTAGCAAAGGATGGTGCTGGTCGCCCCCTGCTGGAGACGGCAGGACCTGCGTGGATCAGTCCACCCAAGCCTTCCTGCCCCAAGAGTTGAGTTCTAGATTTGCTGTGAGGTTCTTAGTAGCCAGGGCAATAGAAATAAACAGCATGAGCCCCAGACCTGAAGAATTCAATTTAAGAGTGTTAAAGGAACTGCCCTTCATACCCACAAGAGGTAGGATGCCTGGTTGGCCATATGTACAAGCCTGCATTGTCTGATGTGTAGGAAAGGGCAGAAGAGGGATTTTTTTCTTTTAAAGGATAGAATAATGCAACAATAGCAAGCACATCATTGAGCACACTCTGTCTCAGAAACTTGTCTAAACATAGATATTAACTCCTTTAATCCTTACAACTGTATGTGGTAAATCCTGTTATCTCCATTTTATTGATGGAGAAACTGAGGCATATTGTGGTTAAGTAACTTGCCCAAAGCACACGGCTGGTAAGTGACCAAGCCATGATGTGAACCTGGGTAGAATCTCCCTGGCATGCAGCTCCTCTGCTCTACTGATTCTGTTGCCTTGTATGGACACGTGGTACTAAGCGTGCAAAACCTGGGATGGCTGTTACTGTAGCTGTCCCCATGGGGTGGCCATTGCAGCCGCTGCTGGAGCCTCTGCCTGGTCCCCATTTTGACCAGTGCATTCAAAGCCAGGTCAATCTCTGTGTCTGGCTGGTGGCCTCGTGGCACTCTGGCTCTGGCTGTTCTCTGAGGATTCTCTCTGTGCTCAGAGGGTGTGGCAGCTGCCTTTGGGACAGCAAGACCTTTGGTTGTTTTTAATACAAATAAAGGCACCGAAGGGGTTGGGACTGCACTGAGTCTGCTTATCCAAAGTCACATTACCCTGGAACCTGGAAACCTCTGGTCACCTTGTCCTCCCTCTTCTCACCACCACTCACCAACACCCCTCTACCTCCCACTGCTGCTTCTGTGCACCAGGGATCACAGGTTGGTGCCCACAGGAGGCTGAGTGCCCTGGACACTTAGCTCTTATTCTTTTTTTTTTTTCCCAAACCTCAGCCACTCACCTCTCCAGAAAACAAACGGAACCCATGGCGAGGCCTTTCTCAGTCCTGTGGTTGGGATGCCCCTGCTTTGCACCCTTTGTGCTTCAAAAGCAGGTACATCATCCTGACCCCTTGTAACACAAGGATGGAAGAATGACCCTCAAAGTGAGTCATTTTCCCTCACCGTGGCACACACAGAAAATGATGATATCAGCGCAGCCCACAAGATTTGTGAAGCTGGGGGAGATTTGTAGGCTTTGATTTTGGACTTTTTTGGTTCTCATATATTTATAAGAAAAACAAAACAATAAAATGCGTTAAGGAAGACTGGGTTAGTATAAAAATTCCAAATAGTATTCTCCAAACTTTGTTTTAACAGTATACTGAGGTATATTCAACCTAAAATAAACCACACATATTTAACGTGACAAATATATCACTAGTCAAACCATCATCACGATGGAGATAATGAACAACCCCACCATGCTAAAGAAATTTCCTCTTGCCCCTTGGGGATTCCTTCTTTATAGCCCTTCTCACCACCCGCTAGCCCATCTCCAGGTGACCATGGATGTGCTTTCTGTCTCTATACATTATATTTTCCAAAATTTTATATAAGTGGATTCATACAGCATGGACTCTTCTCTTTGTCTGCCGTTTTTTGCTTAACGTAATTATTTTGCGTTTCATTTATTTCCTAGCACGGATCAGTAGTCCATTCCTTTGTATTGCTGAGTAGTATTCCTTTGTATGCCTTTGCCGTAGTTTATCCGTTCACCTATTGGTGGACATTTGTGTTGTTTCCAGGTTTGGGGTTGTTTTTAATACAAATAAAGTTGCTATAACCATCCATGTACCTGTCTTTGTACAGAAATATACTTTCATTTCCCTTGGGTAAATATCTAGGAGTGGAATAGCTGGATCATATGGTAAGTGTATGTTTAGGTTTATGTTATAAGAAACTGCCAAAGTATTTTCCAAAGTGGTTGCATGATTTTCTAACCTGACCAGTAGTGTCCAGTCCCTGTTCCTCTGCATCCTTGCCCGTATTTGGTATGGCCAGTCTCTTAAATTTTGGTCATTCTAATGGGTGTGTGGTGATAAATCGTTGTGATCTTACTTTGCATTTCCTTTTTTATCTATGTGTGTGTATGTATATCTATATATCTATATTTATTTATTGAAGTATAGTTGATTTACAGTGTTGTGTTTCAGGTATACAGCACAGTTACATATCTATAACTGATAATATATTGGTAATATAATATAAATCTATTCTTTTCAGATTCTTTTCCCTTATAAGTTATTACAAAATATTGGGTAGAGTTTCCTGTGCAGTACAGTAGCTCCTTGTTGGTTATCTATTTTATATATAGTAGTGTGTGTGTGTATGTTAATCCTAACTTAATTTATCCCTCCCCCACCCCTGTCTTTGAGAAGATGACCCGTTCTTTGGGTGACCTCTCTCCACTGTCCCACAGAGTCAGTCAAGTAACAGCTGCCCCTCTTTTTCATGCTTGCTGTGCACCAGCTCCATGCTCATCTATTTTCACCTATAATGATGGTCCATAATAACCACGTTATAGAAAAGGGAACTGGGGTCAGAAGGGTTGAGGAACGTGCCTAGGGTCCCCCATCTAGTAAGTGGTACCGCCAGGATTTGAGAACATATCTGACTCCAAGGCCCTTGGTCCCCCACGTGCTAGCCTGGCATTGGAGGTCCTACCTACCATTCTGGCCTCATCCGTGACCCTTGTTCCTGTCAGCAGGGCTTACCCAGTTCATTCTTAGCTCACACGGTTCTACCTATCATCTCATGAGAAAGATCCAGCTCTCAACTCTTCCACATTCCCTTTCCCCATCTCCTTTGAGTTTCACTTCAATTCTGTGTGTGGAAAGACTTATTTTTATGATTACCTATTTTGCAGATGGAGAAAACTGAGGCCAGACTAGTAAATTGTATACCAAGTGGCTCCACCAGCAACCCCAGAACCTGGTTCCTTCCAAGCCCCTGCCCTGCCTACCATCCGCCTGGGGCCTGGGACGTGCCCAGTAATATGGGGTTGCTGGTTCCCGGCCTGATTTGCAATCCTGAGAGCCCAGGAAGGCAAAAAGCACGTCTCCTGGCATGGCTGCATATTGCCACTAGGTGGCGCTGCCGGTCCGCGGCTTGGCGCCCAGAACGCAAACTCCACCCCCCACCCCCGCCCCACGCCGACTGGAGCCCGGGCCGGCGCTGTGGCTGCCGCCGGAGTGTGCCCTTCAGACCGTACCCCAAGGAGCGGGCCAGAAGGTGAGGCTAAAATACTATAGGTATCTGCATATAGTAGGCACTCAATAAGTGATCGTTAACTGGGAAACGGAGGCTGGATACTAACAGTAGGTTATTATTATTGACTGTCCCTAGGTGGCTGTGTGGTGTGCGTGTGTGTGTGTGTGTGTGTGTGTGTGTGTATGTGTGTGTGTGGAGGGCGGAGGTACACCATGCTTAGCACATTCTAGTCTTCATCCTCGTTAGTCGTCACAGCAGTGAGGCAGTTGCTTTATTCCCGTTTTGCGGGTGAGAAACTGGGGTTTAGGTCGGTTCGCGGAATAGAGGGAAGAACCAGGATTTGAAGCGCTCTAACCACATCCTGTCGGGATCACCTGTTGGTCCAGTGACGCCTCCTCGCCCGCCTCAAGCGGGAGCCCGGGATGAAAGCCCGCTACCCTGCTCAGCCAGCACAGCCTCAGCCCCCAGCATCATGCGACCACCAGAGGGAGGCCTCGGCCTTCGGACAGCCGCAGAGGGGCCTCGAATGAGGCTGGGAGGGTGGCGGAGCAGTGGGGCAACTGGGCCCTGGAGGGCAGCTTCTGGCTCTGGAGGGAGGATAAGCACCTCTGCCCGGCGGGTCGCCGTGGGC